GTTGAGTTGGCTAAACTATCAACTTGTCCAAATTACCGCAGAAGAAAATATTGTTCAAATTCCATGGCGATCAATGGTTAGCAGGGGCCCGACTGGTTTTTGCAATTTGACGCGATGAAGGGGCGTGGCCCCCGGCCAAGTGCTCAAGCTGCTATTATCGGTTATGGTACCGAGGTAGGGCAATTCCATTTGAGCTGTTAAGGAAATCTGACGAGAATTGCTTCGGTTTGCTTCACTTTAGGCGAATCTACCATATAACAGGTATATTGGCTCGTGAAAAATCTATTCTTGGACACCACTCGAAGCCCACGTAAACAGCACTCATTAGTTTCATGCCTCATGCCTAGGGGGGGGATTCAAGTGGTTACAATGTTTTTTTGCCTAAACTAGACGAAACAGACATTCTACACATACATGTTCGTTTTTCATTGCAAAAAGCCATTCTTCAAATATTTCATGTTTCAGAACATCCTACAATGGCAAAAATTTTAAATTAATTTTCCTCTGCCAATTTTTAGAAATTCTCATGGAATGTGCCATGTTTACCCAGTTATAGCTTTCATTCTTTCTTATTTTGAATTGCTACTTTCTAACAAACTTACGCTTGGTATCGTGTCCTGTGAGCAGATATGATCGGTGAGGAGCTTATCGCGAATCTCCCAAGCGAATATACTCGGCTGTTCTCGCTTGTACTCTTCGATCTTCTCCACTACATTGTTGGTGGCTACTCTGAAATTCAGTGTTTAGATACATTTCAATAACATGGATATTCATAGTAGTTTGTTCACTACCGCAGTGACACAGCGCTGCTCCTAACTGGGCTCAGGGATAAAAGGCGCATTTGTTAAGGGCCTTATGGATTGCTACAGAACTATTAAAAGTTCACTACTCTTCAGTCATTATTTGCACGAGAGACAGTTTTCATTGAATGAATATCGGAAGAAAGTTAAACAGCGCTTTCACAGAAACCGCAGTCTTCATATGACGTGGTTTTTCAGACCCCTATGAGGTTTCTCTACTTCGTTCTGGACCATTATATCGCTATCCACAATATAAAATGATTGCTCAACATTCTGCAAGCCTCCCGTGGCAGAATCATTGCAAAG